ATTTATTTATTTATTTATTTATTTATTTATTTATTTATTTATTTATTTTGAGACGGAGTCTTGCTCTGTCACCCGGGCTGGAGTGCAGTGGCCGGATCTCAGCTCACTGCAAGCTCCGCCTCCCGGGTTTACGCCATTCTCCTGCCTCAGCCTCCCGAGTAGCGGGGACTACAGGCGCCCGCCACCTCGCCCGGCTAGTTTTTTGTGTTTTTTTAGTAGAGACGGGGTTTCACCGTGTTAGCCAGGATGGTCTCGATCTCCTGACCTCGTGATCCGCCCGTCTCGGCCTCCCAAAGTGCTGGGATTACAGGCTTGAGCCACCGCGCCCGGCAATATTTTCAATTTAAAAAAGGACAGAAAAAGGAAAATGTAACCTGAATTGGTCCCAAATGCTAATAGCTCAAAATATAAAGCAGAAATGACAAAGGCTCCTTTTTTAAAACAAAACAAAACAAAACAAAAAAAAAAACGCATAATTTTAAGAACACCAATATAAGGATAACACGGAGACGTTTAACATAAAATATAAATACATATAAGATGCATATGCAGTACACATTTTAAAATTGCTAGAGCAGACACTATGTTTGGGATAGCTGACTAGGCATATTGCTAAAAACGTTTGTTTCTTGGGAAGTCAATTTTTTAAAAGTTAATGCCAAAAAAAGTTAATGCCCAAAAGGATCCTATTCTACTTCAAGGTGTTTGTACATCATGAAAACACTTCTGATGAATCTAATTTCCATTATTCAATTTATCAGTTATTACTATAATTGATACATTTGATTGTAAAATATAAGCTAATTTGGCAGTTTTACTGCTCTTTCCAATACCATTAGAGAGAACAGAAGTCTCTCTAGCAAAGGGCACAGCACAGAACTTCAAAGAATACAATAAAATCAGATTTTTATAAGAAACTTGACTCTCTATGGTTAAATCACACGTTTGTATTAGAACAGAGTATGTTTCTGGAACACTTATTTCTGCCTCGACTACAAATCAGAAACTTGTGACCTCAGCCAGCTACTTCATGAACAGCTAGAGTTCAATCTAATTGCTGCCTAGTCTAGAAATTAGAAACTTGTGACTTCAGGTTGAGAAGTTCCTAAATTACTCTGTAATTAAGACTTTCTTTTCAAAGAAGCATTTTCTTTTTTTTTTTTTTTGAGACAGAGTCTTGCTCTGTTGCCCAGGCTGGAGTGCAGTAGCGCAATCTCAACTCACTGCAACTTCCACTTTCCGGGTTTAAGTGATTCTCTTGCCTCAGCCTCCCAAGTTAGCTGGGATTATAGGCGCACGATGCCCAGCTAATTTTTGTATTCTTTTTTTTTTTTTTGAGATGGAGTCTTGCTCTGTCGCCCAGGCTGGAGTGCAGTGGCGCCATCTTGGCTCACTGCAAGCTCCACCTCACAGGTTCACGTCATTCTCCTGCCTCAGCCTCCCGAGCAGCTGGGACTACAGGCACGCGCCACCATGCCTGGCTGATTTTTTGTATTTTTAGTAGAGACGGGGTTTCACCGTGTTAGCCAGGATGGTCTCGATATCCTGACCTCATGATCCGCCCACCTCGGCCTCCCAAAGTGCTGGGATTATAGCCGTGAGCCACCACGCCTGGCCTTGTATTCTTAGTAGAGACACGGTTTCACCATGTTGGCCAGGCTGGTCTCAACTCCTGACCTCAGGTGATCTGCCAGTCTCAGCCTCCCAGAGTGCCGGGATTACAGGTGTGAGCTACCACACCCAGACTTAAAGCGGCATTTTCTAAGGTCTTTGGGCTTTTCTAAATGATTACCCAGGTGATTATGGAAGAGAGAACTATCAAAGCTCATGGCTATTATAATTCAACTTCAGCAAACATTTATCAACCCCAAACACATGCAAGAACTGTGACATTACTGTTGTACTTGCATCCAAATGTGACAAATCAATATGTACCCTATAGCTTAGAGGAAATACTAGTGATTAGTGAAGTTCCGCCCATTACGTCTGTAGCTATTCCCTCAAAGCCAGTACTTACATTGATTCGCACGGTCAGGTGACACATAGGTGGATATATGCTCAGAGCCAAATCATCCACACTAAGAGCAGAAAACAAAAGTAATCATTAACAAAAAAAGAAACGCAGCCAGGTTGTTTCTAATACACAACTATGAATGTCAACAGTAAGAAACTGTCCCAGAAATGCCTGTCAGTTTTTAAAATTGGGCAACTGGGCAACCAATACAGAATAAGTTCAACCAGTCTTTATTGAAACACGCATACCCCATTTCACTAGGAAGTTAGGGGGAAAAATTCCCTTGGTTCATAGTAGG